ACTGCCGTCCTGATTGTCAAGTCTAATCGCAGCCGCACCGATGACGAGCACTTTCTCATTTTTTAAGGCCGCCTCTAGGTGGTCGAAAAACCATAAATTTTTTTTGACCAGTTTTGGCGTGTTAGCTGGTGGTGGTAGTTCCCTAATTTATGCACTTGAACAGTCAATTCATGCTTCTAATGATGCAGCTCATGTGGCTAAACAAAAATGGAATCATAATGGATGGTTCGATACATTAGATCACGCTAGTGTTCGCCGAGGCTGGGAAGTTTACAAAAATGTTTGTGCAGCATGTCATAGCGTTGAATACTTGGCATACCGTGAGTTAGTTGGAGTATGTTTGACCGAAGAAGAAGCCAAAGCTGAAGCTGCTGAACAACTGATTGAAGACGGACCTGACGAAACCGGTGCCATGTTCAAAAGACCCGGAAAGTTATCTGATTTGTTACCAAAACCTTATCCAAATGAAGAAGCTGCTCGTTACGCAAATGGTGGTGCATACCCACCAGATTTGACTTACATTACTCAAGCTAGAATAGATGGAGAGGTGATTATTTTTTACTATAATTGTTATCTTTGATTAATCATAAACCAAACCAATAATATCAAAATAATAGTAATAATATTATTTTACTCAAATTTATGAGTATTCAAACTTACTGGTATTAGGATACACAGGTATTTTTGTAATAGTAGCCTTAATCCTGTCTTGGGTAAGAATATGGGTACCTCTGTAATTCATTAAACATGTAATAGCCTCTATTAATTAATCTTAAATTAGCACTTGTATAATTTTATTTGGATAGTTTTAGTACAGTAAATATTAGTAACCTACCTTAATTTATGAAGTTTAAGTTTTTATCTATTATACACATTACATAACACACAGAAAATTGAATATTTTAACATTTTTGTAAATGTTAACATATATAGTTAAATAATTTCTTTACACAGAATGATTTATTTATTTAATAATTATTAATAAAAATCCCAATTATATTCCTAGTTATTCTGATTAACCTTCTCTATTATTAATTTTGTTAAGCTTTGTCCATGACCAATTACAATATTTGTTTTTTGCCTAATATAAATGATTTTTTTATTTTTAGAATAATTTGATAGTTTGTTTCTGTTTTTAAAGAACTAGGATAAAAGTATTATACTTTTTATATATCATTACTGATTTAATTTACACCATAAAAACTTTTAATAGGTAAATTATCTATTGAAGTTTTATATTTACACAATATGTAGTGAGGTAAAAACAAATTATGACCTGACCTAATAATGTATATATCCACAAAATATTTCCTTACCTGATAAAGATTAAGTAACAAGTCCTATGTGTGTTTTTATAAACTACATAATAGTCAAATAATAAATTTATTAATAATTTTGCAAATTTCAATTGATTTTCTAACGTTCTCAGAAAAAATAAGTTAATCTTTTTTAGTTCTAACTATATACATTTATGACGAAGAAATACAATTTTAATCTAATAATATTAATCTAAATTTATCAGTTTTAACATTATCTAGATAATTTTAATTAATAACATTATACAACTTTGACTTTTTTTTTAAAATAACTATTCACACTGTTCTTAAAAACTAGAAAAAGTTCAAAATAACATCATATCTATTTAAAAATATTTACTTTCAAATTTTAATTTTCAGAATTATATCTTTGCATTGTTGACTGGTTACATGGACCCACCAGCAGGAATTACATTAGCAGAGAATCAACACTATAATCCTTATTTCCCTGGTGGTGCTATCGGAATGGCTCAAGCTTTATATGACGAGGTAATATTTTTAAAAACATTTAGTTAATAGTTATGTATTAATTTTATTGTGTAAACTAAAATAAATCCATGGTTACACTTATAAATATGAATAATAAAAATGTTTTCAATTCATAATAATAGGAAAATATTTTTTTTTTTTTAGATTATTGAATATGGTGATGGTACTCCAGCTACACAGAGTCAGTGTGCGAAAGATGTTATCACATTCTTAAAATGGTGTGCTGAACCAGAACATGATACTAGAAAATTATTTGCCATGAAAGTATGTTGATGAAAGATTTATATTAATTTTATATTGAAATTAATTTGTTTATGATATTTTTTGTTTAGGCATTCACGATACTAGGAGTTCTTAATTTAGTGGTCTGGTACCTACATAGACATTACTGGTCAGTATTGAAGAGCCGAAAAATTCTGCAAAACCCTAAATCATTGTTCAAAAAGTAAATTGTTTTTAGTTCGTGGTAAAAATCAAAACAATAAAAAATTTAAAAAAAAATGTTTTCAACTCCTGTATGTGTATTAGCAGTTAAATATCTCTGAAATGTATGTTTAAAGACTAAATGAAATTTTATTTAGATTGCAATTTGAGTAATTAAAACGGTTTTGTAATTTTTTGAGGCTAAACTGACTATAGTATTTTTTTTATATTTTTTTTCACATATGTTATGATGAATAAAATATAACACGGCTGCATATTAGTATTTATTTTGAATTCAAAAATTATGGTAAAAAAATATATTGATAATTATTGTCATAAATACATGAAAGATAGTTTATTTATATTATGTGTAGTTACATAATTGGTACATTTGTTTAGAAATTATTGAATTAGGACATCATAGTTTTTTAGTACTATACAATTATAATGAAAATCAGTCAAAAGGATATTACAAATAAATTAAATTTATATAAACCAAAACACCAAAATTAATTTTTTGCTATTTTTAATATCTTTGTTATATACCTTCTTTGAGTGTTTTAATTAATTATCATTTATGATTAAAGAAAATAATAACCTATTACTTCTTCCTTTTATAATTGATTACAATAATTATAGTTAAAAATTTAAGTAAGTTATTTCTTTTTTAACAATTTAGGATTAAGAACTAGTCTTTTGTGTTTTCTTCTTTTTACTAACATGATAAATATTTACATAATTTAGACTTACAAGATAAATATTAATTACCTACATTTAATACCTCTTAATCCCCAATAACCTTTCATAAATAAGAAAATGATTATTTTCTGTATTCTCAGTGTAATGATAAAGTGTTTATCTTGTGTAAGATTTGTTTGGAAGGTTGGAACACGTGTTGTGTATGTGTGTACACTATGGATTCGTAACTAAGAAATCGGGTGGTTATCCATCTGAGCACAACCAACGCCGGTCGATGTTTGACCTCAGAACACATTAATGATTGAGGCCAACCACTGCGCCACACCAGGCTTGTCAATTTAAGGACTGTTTTTTTGGCATCACTAAATTTAAAAAAAAATCATTTTTAATAATAAATTAAAATCGAATTGTGATAACTTGTACATGAAAGAATTATCATACTTTGAATATTGCTATAGCTGAAGTCAAAATCTTTACTATATTGGTTTGTAAATTAATTTTGTTAATAAGGCAATGGATTACCATTAATATTAGATTTTATTAATGCATAAGCTATTAGGTATAGCTTATGTACCTAACTATATGTTTTTTTGGTATGATTCTAACTTTTTTTGTTTTTTAACTATATATAAGTCAATACTATGCTGTAATTGTTTTAAACAGTGTAGAACAAAATATAATGTTATGTAATTATCATTAGTAAAGAAAAAAAATAGTTGATTGGTTAACATTAACAGAATAGAAAAAGTTATTGGACATTTTTACACGTTTACATAGAATATGTAAATTATTAATAATTGTATAATAATTCTTTTCACACAATTAATGTACACCACTGTTCTAGATCTAGCGTAATAACTTTTCTAGTTAATTTACATTCTAATATATAGTAATTAAAATCTGTTTATTAATCAAAGTCTGACGGTTACACTTGTCTTGCTATAAGGACGGATGTCAAACACTAATTTCGATACAACTGAACGTAAAAACTAACAAACTCATCAAACTAACGTATGATGATGAGTCATACCAATGATATAAAATTTTTGAGTAATATTTATACAATGATTATTTTCTGAAATATTAAAAAAATTATAATAAATTTAAAAAACATAAAAATGTGATCATACAGTCTAGTTAGATACTGTGTAAAGGGTTTTTTATACTTACAAATTACTTAAACCATTTAACCTGCATTTTTTAAAAATCTTTATTTATTTAATTTAAATTAAACGCATTATCCCACTAGGTTTTACGTTCACTAGATATTAAATCAGATATTAACACATTTAAATTGTTTTTGTAATAAATAAAAATAAAAATAAAATATATTAGTAAAAACTAAACAGTATTACATGACCTAAATCCACAATCATATTAACAAATATTATTTATCTTACCGTACCTATTTATTTACTAAATTTTCAACAAACTGATTCCCTTTTAATAATAATACATGAATATGAATACACTTCAGATTTCATATTGAGAAATATCAACTTTTTTCCAATTATATAAGCTAAGTCCTCACCAAAAACCATTCAACAATATCTTTTTTTTCCTAAATAATATATAAAAATATTTTCAGCTAATAAGTATTTTAATTAGTGTTTTATCTTGAGATTTATCTAAAAAAAAAAATGGAAATAAGTTGTGTTTTAAATCTTGAAAAAAAATGTTGTATATTCCGGATATTTAGGATATGCATTATTTCGTACTAAAGAAACTAGAGAGTGATTTTCATTTCATTGTAAATACATTTTATTTTTACTTTAAATGCTTTCACTTGTTTTGGAAGTATCCATAGTTGTAAAATTATTTCTTACTATACCAGTACAATCTTACATCAGCTACAGCATAACGTTTATTCTTCACATTAAAATTAATAATATATTATCTATTAAGTACTATGGCACAAGCTCGTTTATCATACTTTAATGTACTAATTATTAAAAATGAGAGAATATGCAGTTAAGACAGGGTCAAATTTAGGTAAATGCACTAACTCTTTAGTTAAAAGAAAAAAGGATGAATATACGTCAAAAAGACAGCGTGTTTATAACTTGTATGTGCATGACAAGGAAAAAGAATGAGAATTTTCAGCATTAGAAACAGGAAAAACAAATTTTATTATTTTTTTTTTTTTTATATACAAAATAGTTGGGCTGGGTATACAAGAATCTATATCTCAAAAGTTTTAGAAAAACAAGACATACCATTAATAATATATTGACTTAACAATTGCCAATTAAGAGGTGTTATGTGCCCTAATGATATTGTAACTGATATGTCCAGAGGATTTTTAGGCACAGATTCTCGTGAATTTTTTAATGGCACAAGGATAAAAGAATACGTAAGTATATCCTTATAATATTTTTTAATGGAATCAAATGTTATTCCAAAATGTTTCATATGGACCGATACTGTTCGTTTTGTAAAAATGCAGTAGAGGTGGAAATGTTTTAATGGAACAAATAGTTAAAAATTAAAAGAATTTTATAGTCGATGTTCCAAACTTCTTATTGAAAGTCAAAGTATAAATAATTTTACAATACCCGTAATTTTTAGCTGTAAAGCAAACAAAATGCTATTAAAAAATGGGTTTAGAGCGAAAATACATAATAGATGTATAAAGAACAATATAATAATAACAATATTTTTAAAATATCAATTATTAAAAAAGTTAGTTGTTTAAATAATGTAAAAAGAGAGAGTTATCACAGTACGTCTGGTAGATGTAAAACATTAAAATTTATGGATATTGAAAGTTTTTATATTAATGAAATTATACTATATTCAATACAATTAATACAATTAATATTGATAAGAAAGTTGATATTTACTGAGTAAACAAGCAGAAAACATAATATTGATAGAAAACAACACAATATTATGATAACGGCAGATACTAGACAGTTTAGCTTTTAGCTGGGTGCGTGGAGGACTGGAGGTAGTTGGTCTGTTGGATAGAAGCTATCTAACTTTATAAAGGATTAGAGATTTACTTCAATTAAAGCATAAAATACAAATAAAAATTATTTAATAATTTATTGCGACAGACTTGTTTTAGTAATTTGTTTAAATTACAAAATATTAATATAATATACACGGCAACGTGGAGGTAAAAACAAAAAGCGACGCGTCAAACGACTTAGCGGAAAAAGAACGGCGAATCGATGAAGGTAGGAACCGACGCCGTTTGACTGAATTGAATATAGGTATAACTGTCGCGCGGTTACGTTGATAACATTTAGGAGTTGGACCGTCTCGGCATCATATCATCAAGGCGCGCCAGTAGATTTTTTCTACATCAAATAGAACTAAGAACAAACAACTAAGAAGGCTTTTCCGCCTTTCATAATAAGGTGTACCCATATTTAAAATAATACAAAACCTTGATGAGGTTGTCTCCAAAATATTGTTCTCGGGGTCGGCGCTAGAAGTGTTCACGCCCTGGGCAAACCAATTTTTGTACGATAGCAATCATCACATATTCTATATAGTCATAACGGCCGTCGCTATCGAAAGTATTATATTATGTATAAGCTGCTGCCCGAATTGTACAACGAAAAGCTTTGCATCATATCATAGCTTCTACTGCCACCGCCGACAATGATATTATGTTAATATATAATATATTTTATAAATAGGTACTAAGAAAACGTTTTTATAATAATAAATGTGCGATTTATCATGTTATATTGACTATTACCTACCCTACACAATCATATTATATATTATACTATATTATAATTTATAATAAATTAAAAAAAGGTTATGAAACAAGTTAAGATGAATGGTCGTTTATACTTAAAGAAATAAAATGTTAATAATTGTAATTTGTAATATGAATTAAGAAATGTATGTTACATTTACTCTGACTATCTTTAACTCATAACTTTATAATATAATATAATTGCTTAATACTATATTATAATGCAAGAATGAGTAAGAGAGCTTTTTCTTTTGTTTGTATACATTTATGAGAAAACTTAAAGTATGAGTTTAATAAATGTATTACCTTACCTTTTGTACAACTGGTACCTATACCACTGGATCTGAGTATTTGAATTGGAATGAATAGTTTTCAGGTTTGAATAAAATATTAATGATAGTATATTTAAATAATATTGTTAATGATCAAAAAATATAAAACAAATAGAAAATGAAAATAGAATTTAGAGATTGAACAATTTTATTTTGGTGGATATAGAATAGGTGACTGAACGAATGACGAGTTTGCGTCAATTCTTCGTATGAAATTGATCGTGGTATATTTTCGTAGCTAGACATGAATACTGATTTAATAACGTTATTTAGGTACAAGTGGACAATAATCATTATAATAATATGTTATATTTAAGTATCTA